AAAGCAAAAGGGTGTCAATCAGAAACGAACATAAATTTCAAAAAAATATGTCTCTGTATATTTGCTAAATTAAACTACAGTCCAATAACTTTTTTACCATTTCCATACGCCGAAAACAGATAGAAGATTGACATGTAATAAAGAGGACATACTAAGCAAAAAATAAAACATTTTAAGAACGAGAGATTGTACAACAGCTTCAGGAAACCTGTCATTTAGAAGGATATTTCATGTTATGGTAAGAAGTTTTTTCATCTAGCACTGGTTTCTTAAGGAGACTGCATATGTCTGAAGAGTTTGTTGAAGGTAACGCCTGTAAAAAAAACTTGACAGAGCTGGTATAGAAATATTTTTTTAAGAAACAAGTAACCGATGACGGCAATAATTTTGTCTAATGTACAAGTAAAAGAAATAAATTGATTTATTAAAACATTTTATTGTAGAACGAATGATTATTGCGAACATCTGCAGAAATATCTCATCATACTGTGATGGCTAAACAACTTAAAAATTATGTCTGATTTAACATTAGAGATGTTATAACACATAACATGAAAGCTCGAATTTTTTTTGAATGATATAATTGCAACGATTGTTGAACAAATGTAAAATACCTGTTTTGTTGGCACACGTCCTCCGTTGCGGCCATCATTTACTTGTTATATTAAAACAGTCAATTTGTATAAATTAATACTTGATTATAGTAATAAATAAACGTGTATTGTGTCCGTTTTACTTTAACCAGCACAAGTGTGCCAACAACAGTTCCATTGTATATTTAAGTTTGCTAGTCTCATTACAAATGAAAATTTAAACATAATTAGGACGTTTAAAAATCTTAGCAAAATTTATCTACAATAAAAGGTAGCTTTATGTTTTCTATTTTTGTGTATGTTTATATGATTTCATCAACAACATTTAGCCTGCTTTATGGCTATGTTTTAGGATTATCAGTTATTAATGTTTGAATTCCTAAATTATTGCAAACTGTTTTGGGTGTTCTTCAGGGATTACATTTTCTATATTTTAAAATAAATCAGTCAATAAAATAGCGCATGGTCAGCCTGAACGGATATTATTGTTATCATAAAGACTTTGACAAGGAATTAAACTATGACATTAATGTAACAGTTCAGGCCTTGTTTATGGGACAAAAATCATCAATATACAACTTCACAGTTAATCTAACATAAGAATAATGGAATCAAATATAAAACATACATATGATTGAAGAAGGTTAAATTAGACAACACATATAATTAGATTTACTGTAAAGGATGATGTAATTATATTTTGCATGCAGACGTGTATTTTTCGTTATGACACGAACATTTTTTCACAAGAGACGTCTGAGTCTTTATCCTTATTAAGTTTCTGATGCAATGTAACAGTTCAGGCCTTGTTTATGGGACAAAAATCATCAATATACAACTTCACAGTTAATCTAACATAAGAATAATGGAATCAAATATAAAACATACATATGATTGAAGAAGGTTAAATTAGACAACACATATAATTAGATTTACTGTAAAGAATGATGTAATTATATTTTGCATGCAGACGTGTATTTTTCGTTATGACACGAACATATTTTCACAAGAGACGTCTGAGTCTTTATCCTTATTAAGTTTCTGATGCAGAATCAAGCATTTCATTGACTTTGATTGACGAATAAACAATAGGCAATTATGGAAGGACACAAGATATAAGTAATATTAGCATGCAGATAAAGACAAACTGCAAGAACTATTAAAATTTATATACGTTTGTTTAGATAAGCTTATTTGTCAGTTTCACAAAATTACAGCGATTTCATCTTTTATACTTTTATCTATTTAATAAGCTTGAAAAGTATTTCATGTAATATTTACCTAATACCATCATTGTTTTAGTTTAAGGGGATGAAACAAATGATTTTAAGATTCATTTTATTAATAATTTTGGCAAATTATCAATAAAGTAGCATGAATTTCAAAGTAGTTGAATATGTAATTAAGAATATAAAGATTCATCTATTCTTTTGTGTGTAACAGTTTCTATATTGTTTAAAACAATTTAAGAAGCATTCTGTTTTGTATGTTATAATTGGAAAGAAAAAGGTAATTTTGAAAGCCCTCATGATTTATTGTTGTCGTTGTTGGTTTTGCGGAGCGGAAATTGTTTGTCTTCTTCATTTTGTAAAGTGTATGCGAGTTTTTTTTTTGTTTTTGTTTCTGCTTATCTTTTTTTGTGTGTGTGTGTGGGGGGGGGAGCAGTTTTTTTTTCAATAATTACATTGATAAAACAAAAAAGCATTAATGCCTTTAATTTCCCATTTTGACTATTTAAGACAATCTGTTTGAAACAAAATCTTGTTCACATATGTCTTCCTTCAAACACTTAATGAGTTTTATTTTACCTTTTTTGGCTGTAAACAAATAAAGAGAAATGCAATACGATATAATTTCACAAAATAGCCGTTATGAGTGCTTTAAAGCTGTCATCATGAGTAATAATATCATACGAATTTTGGACTTTTATATTGAACCAAATAATTCATTAACATGGAATATCATTAACACAAGACAACAATTGTATACATGTATCCTCAGTTAACAAATGTAAACATTAAAATGTATCGTCTAGAAACTGTATTTACTAAATATCAGCAAGTTTGTAGCTCACATAATCCATTACATTTATGATATAATTTATACACAGTATTGAATAGCTGGAGTAATTAAATAAGAAAGCTAGTTGCATCAGACTTGCCAGAATTGTATAAAATGTGTAATTAAAGTTGCATGCTTGTGCCTATATCCCAGCGTCGTAATACTATGATTACAGCTTCAAGGATTGCATGCACAAAATGTTTATATGTGTAATGAAAAAACATTTTGAATTACCAGACTTAATGAAAAGACAATAGACAATTATCGGGTTTGCATAAAGACAACACACACGCACAAACAAACATCAACATTGGAACAATACATGGGACTGAAAAATAAAAAATATTTGATATATCAATTTGTCAGTATTTTTGTTAAAATTCCAGCAAAATCTTGATATTGTCTAGCATTGATTCTATTTTATAAATGATTAGATATATTGTAGTTATTTAACCTTTGTTCAGTACTGCTGTTTCAATTTAGCAAACAGGTAAATGACTGTGTACTGTTTTTTATGTGTCTCTGTGACAAACAAAGAATATTTCAATAAATTTAAACGCTTTTTACCTTAACGCTTATTTAAAGATCATTTTTCATTTGGTCTTGTTTAAAATATAATTATTTTCTACAATGGTAATAAGATGTTCATTTTCAAATTTGTTAAACTATAGAGTTTATTAATTTTAAAATGATATGAATTTAATGAAAAAGAATCATCATAATTTTTGTTTTTTTCATAATCAATGAACATTTATTATATGTTTTTACTGTAAATGGCCATTCATGACAAATCACATGTGGAATAAATAAAAATAAATCAATTCCGGTGATAAAACTTGATTATTTTCCGCTCTTAACTATTTCAGGAGAAGACATGAATAATAATGTCAAACATTTTGATTTTTATAAAATGGAAAATGCAATTCAAATATTGATAATAGAGTTGAGAGATTGTAAAAATCATGTTTTGAATATTACTACCATATTTATTTATATTCTACGGAGCATATTCAAGAATTGTTTTTTCCCCCCAATTTTACAACTGTCAATTTATTGTATCCGGTTTTTGTCTTGGGTGATTTAGGTTGAAAAATGAAAAGCACTTAAAGAATAGTCCTCACAATATTTAAAAGCAAATTTGTATGATACTTGTAACAACATTTAAGTTTCATACACGTTGAAGATAACTTTATCTACATCTCTATGTTTGTATGATGGCATTCTTAAAATTGAGTTTCCAAGTAATACTCAACATATTGCTTATAATCAAGTACAAACACTGACATATGTGCATAAAGACATAAACACATTAAATTATAAATTGTATTTACGGTATTGAATTTGGTTGCAAATTTTCTTATGCCTTTGTTTTGTTTTTGTCTAATATTGTCTTATATTGGTATTGATATAAATGCAAATGTACTTTTTGATTTGGCCTACTTTTATAATTAATTGTAATGATTTGCCAATTTGAATGTTAAAAGAATTGAATATTAATTCTTTTCAATTGTATACATGCCAGTACATTGATAATCAAATTGTTAATCAATTTTCAACTTTAACTTTCATCTCGCATTCTGTCATTTAATAGGAATACTAATTTAACAATTCTAAAATTCTCAAACTGTGTCCACTAAAGCAGAAGGATGTCAATCACAAACGAACATTTTCAAAGAAACTTTTCAATGGAAATTCTCTATGAAAAGACAACTGGTTAAATTACAGCCCAAATAAAATCTTACTATTTCAGAACGAAGAAAACGGATGTTAATTCGACTTTTAATTAAGAGGACATGCTGCACGAAACAAAACAGTGAAAGATACGATAGGTGTTTGATAGCTGTGCAAATGCTACAGGAAGTATATTCTTTGCTATTTACCATTTGTTTCAGTATAGGATACTTAGCTCAAAGTAGTACACTGCTAAGAGCGAATAAAGAACAAATTAATTTAGAAATAAATAACTGATGGCAGTGATAATTTTGTCTATTGTAGGCACAAGTAGACATGCAACAGTTGAGTGTAGAACGAATTATTATTACAAATGTCTGCAGAATCATCTAATAATATTTAATTAAATTGAAGGCATGATTTAAACATTTATGATGCATTACCACATGACATAAAAGCTTTAACCTAAGAATATCATTATTGTAACAATTGTTTGAACAAACTTAATCTTACCATCATATAAACCTTACAAAATATATTAATTGCAAATTAATTAGTTGATATGTATAAAAATAGGTAGGTTAATTATTTGGAAAATCTAGCGCATTTGGCCGAAAGACAATGCATATAACCTTGAAGTGTTTGACGATAGCCAACAAATAATTAACACATTTTTGGGGGCGCAAGCCCCCAATGTAATTACGATAAATTCAGCTTACTACCTTCTGAACGCATTTAGGCTATCTAGCTGCGCTGAGCAAAAATAGTTCCAATATTTTGCCATAATATTCAGATCATCATAATACCTTATCTAATTTAAAATTGACTGGTCATTTTATTACTTAATTTTAAATCCTTTTATCACAAAATTACAAATACCATTGCTTTACGCGATTTGAATATTACTACGCTAGCAGTCGATAAAAATTTAATGAGAACCAGTTTATTTGTTCTACCTTCTGGTTCCCGATGCATGAGAGCCAAAGTACTTGCAAAAATTTGGTGCCAATTTTATCAAGTCATAAATTAACTAACTATCATAGAACACAATAATTCAGGAAGATGGAATACGATTTTCAAATTAGATAACTTTCAAGCTTAAAATGGTTAAAAAGTGTGAATGACAGAGTAAAAATTTGTATGCGTATGAATACGAACTATTTTCCCTCTGACGTCATTTTCCCGAAATCGCCATCTTGGTCAGTTATTCCGAGAAAAGGTTGAGAAGATCTGCTATCAATTAGGAAGTCCCAGCTATTACGTTGATATTTTGGTTGCAATCAATTCCGTATGTATAATCAAGTTTTCTTCACAATCTGGTAAAGCTATTGATATATTTCGCTTGATAGACTGCAAATTTTACTTTTAGTGCAGTGTCAGCTCGGCCCTAAAACGTACTCGGCCCCGAGTCAGCTCGGCATTTTTTCAACTCGGTCCACTTTTCAATTTATTAACATATTGTTTTTTTTATCATTTTTTATTGTTGAAACCACATAATTAATATCTGGACTTATTCAGAAACCTGGAAAGATATTTTCTTAAATTATTATTACATTTTTGACTATACTTTTTGAACACATCTCTATCAGTCTATTACTCAATTTACTGTATTAGCTATCTAAGCTTAACAAGATAGGCCCAAAACTTGTCATGATATACAGGTAAAATGTAATAAGTGGTGAAAAATGATAGTTTTCAATTTTGTGATCATGATTTTTGCAAGCGACTGGAGGAACTGCCCCAGCCCTGTAATGAATAAAATCCTATCCTATGAGAGGTCCCAAAATTTAAAGGACTAGTAATAATTATAATTGTTAAATACAATATGACCCCTGCAGGACAGGGCAGAACGTGAGACAGGGCAGACCGTACTTGAGACTAGGCGGACCATATTTTGGGACATCAATAATTTAATACTTTTTATAATAGTATTACATTAGTCCACATACACAATGTAAATACTTTTTAAATCACGGTCCGCCTAATCTTGAGTCACAGTCCGCCCTGTCCGTAATTCAATATGACTTAAAATAAGATATACTTATTTCATACATGTAGATCTGATTTTCACAGTTTTGCCTTCATCAGATGTAGGATTTCATGATATTTATGGTCAGTCCATAATTTTATAGATTTTTTATTTGTAAATTTATAGACATTTATATCTGAAAAAAGTAGTTGTATTAAAATTCAAAACCACAGGTCGATAATAATAAGATAACTGATTATATTATTAAATATAACAGATTCCAGATAATGTGAATATCGGCATATTTTACGCTTTAAAATCAACTAAAAACGTACAAGGTTAACAATTTGTTGCGTTCATTTACGCACTCTGTAAATTAATTACGCAAAGAATGTGAATTTGAAGTGTTTTTGGTGTGTACTTTCATTTTCGAAACAGCTGATTGACCGCTACCATTTAACAGTTGAACTGTGTATCTATTTCCAATTAATACCTGTCAAGATACCTTCAACTATTTTTCTCTGTAAACCAGTCAAATTACGTCTTTATTGCTTACGTGCTTGATAAAATAATTGTTCTATTTTCTTGATAATTGTAAGGATTTATTAATACACATGTTGTGCATGGTTGCTTCAAGGGCTAATCAAATTGACATTTTTTTCACACAACTCTGTTGCCGGGGAAACTTGATAAACTTACCTCATTACCTTTGTTGATATAAACAATCAATAAAAACAACTTGTCTTTAGCAGCGGAATTTTATATACATCATATTAAGTCATCATTACTTTTATTGTTTAACATCTATATGATTATTATACTAATAGTATTCATGGAATTGGTAGAGGAATAGGCAGTGGCTAGCAGTATGAACCAGTATTGGCTGTATGCGAGTCAAATACGACTAGCATATACTCACTGTTGAGACTAGCTGTACAGCATTTTAAAAATGAGTTGCCTAAAACAATAATATGCAAACTTGTTTTTCTAAAAGAAGATTTTATTGAATATCATATACAATTTCAGTCAATGCGAAAGTAAAAAAAAATTCCACCCGCAAGGACTGGGATCCTTAGACTGATGATTTTTCCCCCGCCCGGACTCTGACAGGTTTTTTTTGTAGGTATGGGGGAGGGATATTGCCATAATTATAAAGAAAAATATTTAGCATATATGAATTATCAGACTCAACTATAAGATACTAAAGAAAAAAATATACAGAAACATAATTGATAAAACATTAGCATAATTCACAAGAAAACAATACATGTACATCTTTCAAAGGTTTAATTTTGAAGATTGGAGAAAAAATATGTTTTGGAAAAGAAATTATCCGAGACAAGATGGTGGCTTACATTACTTAGCAAAAACTGGTCGTATCCTGCGGTGATTTTGGTTATCTTGGTCTGTGAATACAAGCAAAAATTAAAAAGATAGATCGATCTTGGAAGCTTTGCATATTTCAGAAGGCCAAAAATTGTTTCAAACTGGCTGAAATTTTATTCGGACATGACAACTGACTGTATCGAAATTTATCTCGACCCTACTGATTTTTAGTTGGCGAGGTTCGAGGACCGACAGCCTTTCGCACAGACTGCAATTTACATTTGGTATAGTAATTTGTAGTGTTTGATGATCAAAAGATTTTTTTTCCTTCTGAAAATCATGGAGTTGAATAATTTAAATTTGTGTGAAAGCGCTAAGAGAAAGAGACTGAAAATTAATTTATTATTTCTATGGACATAATTATATAGATACATTTGTAATCAAACATGTGGGTCAATTTCCAACAGTAGTTGAATTATGACAAAGTATTTTTAATAATTTTATTTCACTTTTAGCTACTTGAAAATTTCATGCTGGATGTTTGCTTACCATAACATTTTGCATAAGAGCTCTATGATTGACATTAAAGTCCACGGGCCAATTCATTTCTGATATATCTTTCCGATATCTTGTTATAATATAAAAGGCTGAACGTCATCGTAGAATTATTAGGAAAAAATATATATGTTCATTCTTTGTAAAAATGTTAGAAGACTTGCAAGTTACCGATTTTATCATTGCATTTATTTATTATTGAAAAATGCTGAACGGCTATCCTCAACAGTGTGTATAGGCTAGAACTTTCAGTTTGCATTTAGGGTCAAAATATATTGTTACAGTCATGACAGCTTTCCCGTTGCTGTCAACAAACTTTAACCTTTCATAACTTTTCAGATCTTGGTGTATTGTCTTCATACTTGGCCACAACAACCCTTCAAATAGACCAGACTAAACTTGACCTCCATATAAACATTCAAGGTAAAATATTTAAATTTTCCTGATTTTTGCTATTAGTGGCTATGACTTTGTTATTTTTGAATGGATTGTCTTCAAACTTGTACGCAACAATCTTTCAGGATAGGACCTGATTCACTCATTAATGTCCTTGAAGCTTTTGTGATCAGAAGTTGTGTAGAATAATACAAATACAGAACAATTTCATTTACTTGGTTTTGCAATTTCTGAGACAATGGATTTTAAAGACAGTAGTTTTCTTAAAATTTAAGGACAGTATAGTAGATTGAAAAGACATTTAGTACATACTGTATATACACTATAACTACTATACATGTAGTATACTATAAAAATCTTTGTTCTTGGACAATTTTGAACAAATTGTTTCTTAAACAGTGTAAGAAATTAGGATTTGAATCGACTAGCCTGGTCGGACTACCAGATTGGAATATTCACTAGCCCAAAAGACATTTCTCTGGCACGATTAATTTGTTCAAAACAGTTGTTTATAATGCCTCTTAAAATACAGTAGCCTGGTCAGGCCTGTTACTGTGAAAAGTTGGTAGCCCGAGGAGAAATTTAGTATTCAGGGGCTATAGGACTACTGCTAATTTCTAACACTGCTTAAATTATTGATTTGACTATTTATTTTAACTAACATAATTATTGGGATACTATATGTATATCTAATAATAATTATATTTTATCTTTCCAACTTTCTGTTTCAGACGGTCGGCCTACATGTCAGATTTGTAAATGTGAACGGCAGGATATCGATTTTAAGGATGCTTTAGGGTCAATGAGGATGAAATAAAATGTGAGACTGTCAATCTGACAAACCTTGCAGTGAATAAATGGTAAAATGTTTCTTTCAGTAGCATAGCATTTAAGGAAGCGGTACATGATGATTTAGAAGTGGTTGTATATGATATTTCTTAATTATTATATTCTAATAGCTTTTTAGTCCCCTACCGGTTTAACCAAAACAAAGTTGTAAGGGGGGTATACTGGAATCAGCTTGTCCGTCCGGCCGTCCGTCGGTTTTTTCTTGTCCGCCCAATAACTTAAGATATCTTTGACCCTTAGTCTTCATATTTGGCATGGAGGTTAGTCATGATTAGTAGATGACCCCTATTGATTTTGAGGTCACTAGGTCAAAGGTCAAGGTCACAGGGGCCTTGACTTCAAAAAGCTTGTCCGCCCAATAACTTAAGATTCCTTTGACCTACAGTCTTCATATTTGGCATGGAGGTTAGTCATGATTAGTAGATGACCCCTATTGATTTTGAGGTCACCAGGTTAAAGGTCAAGGTCACAGGGGCCTTGACTTCAAAAACCTTGTCCGCCCAATAACTTAAGATTCCTTTGACCTACAGTCGTCATATTTGGCATGGAGGTTAGTCATGATTAGTAGATGACCCCTATTGATTTTGAGGTCACCAGGTCAAAGGTCAAGGTCACAGGGGCCTTAACTTCAAAAAGCTTGTCCGCCTAATAACTTAAGATTCCTATGACCCATGGTCTTCATATTTGGCATGGATGTTAGTCATGATTAGTAGATGACCCCTATTGATTTTGAGGTCATCAGGTCAAAGGTCAAGGTCACAGGGGCCTTGACTTCAAAAAGCTTGTCCGCCCAATAACTTAAGATTCCTTTGACCCATAGTCTTCATATTTGGCATGGAGGTTAGTCATGATTTGTAGATGACCCCTATTAATTTTGAGGTCATCAGGTCAAAGGTCAAGGTCACAGGGGCCTTGACTTCAAAAAGCTTGTCCGCCCTAATTAACTTAAGATTCCTTTGACCCACAGTCTTCATGTTTGGCATGGAGGTTAGTCATGATTAGTACATGACCCCTATTGATTTTGAGGTCACCAGGTCAAAGGTCAAGGTCACAGGGACTTTGACTTCAAAAAGTTTGTCTGCCCAATAACTTTAGATTCCTTTGACCCACAGTCTTCATATTTGGCATGGATGTTGATCATGATAAGTAGTTGACTCCTTGTGATTTTGAGGTCACTGGATCAAAGGTCAAGGTCATAGGGACTTTGACTTCAAAAAGTTTGTCCACCCATTTACTTAAGATTCCTTTGACCCACAGTCTTCATATTTGGCATGGATGTTGATCATGACTATAAGGTGACCCCTATTGACTTTGAGGTCACTGGGTCAAAGGTCAAGGTCACAGGGACCTTGACAAAAAAAAGCTTTTCTTCTCAATTGCTAAAGAATGTCCTGTCCGCAATGTATTGATTTTGACATTTTCACATTTGAAGCTTGTAGAATACATAACTTAGCAATGCACTGGCTTAGTAACCTCAGATTTGGCAGGGAGGTTGTCCTTGAGCTCTAAATGGCCACTGTTGATTCTGACAAAGTGGTATGCGGGGGTATTCACGCCAAGATAGTGGCAGTTCTAGTTTAAATAACTTCTTTATTTCCTAATGTATCTACTTCAAACTTCATATATATGTTTCTTATTATCACTCAACATTTTTGAGAAGGTTAAATACTCTAGCAAGACTATTTCCAGAATTATGTCCCCCTTGAACTTAGATTTTTTTCGAGAAATTGGTATTTTTCACTCCAACTTCTTCATTCATTATAGGATTTACTTTAAAATCCCACATCGTAATAATATGACAAGGTTGTATAAACATAATTTCCATACTAGGCAGGGAAACTTAACACATTACTGTGATATAGACAAACTTAGAACTCAAAAGATTTAAGTTCATTCATGTCATTCATTCACTGGTAAAATTGACTGGCCAATGGCCCATCAGAAAGTTGCTGGGGTTCTAACCGGTAGGGGACTTATGGATTGCTTGCAATACTATGATAATTGCTTGTTTTTCTTGACTTGTTTAAAGGCTGACACAGGATAGTTTATATTAAGTCAGTGAGCTTCTGTCACTGGATAGACTATTGTCACAAAAATCCAAATTTATAAAAAGGAATTACAGTGAATTTAAATATCATCTTATAGAATAGAAATTAGGAACAAAATTAATAACAAGAACAATTGTGACATGTAACATGTATTTAGGAATTCAGCTTTCCTTTCCTTTTCACCTCAGGAGAATTCACATTAATTTAAAATAATGAATATTCACAATAAGCACTCCGACATATCTGACATATATGATTATCTTATCTTCACTTAGCTGTCTATAGCTTATCAGAATCACTCACATTTATAAATTTAAATGATTTTGAAAAAATTGCTGCTTAGCAAATAGATAAAATACTTGGGGTGTCTGTGGCGATTGGTTGACTTTAAACCTTTAAGCCTTTCACTGCTGTAGGTTCGTGCTCTGCAAGTGTTTACGGATCATTTCATGTGAGAAAGCTATCTAGCTCATTTATGGAACATTGATGGTACCCAGGTGCCTGAAATCATACACATAGGTGCACCAAGGTCTTCCTCAAGCAGTAAAGCTGGAAATTGTGCTTTAAATTGCCCCCACCCCCCCTCCCCGAAAAAAAAACAACAAAAATAATGGAATTTTTATTTTGCTATTAACTTTTTCTAAACAAATATTTCAGGAAACAGTGGCGTTTGTATGATAGAACAGTAATAGCAGGAGTGATAAGGACAGATGCATGTAGATGTGTCTTCATGTCGGAAACACTAGAGAAATTGACACATTTGGGTTTTTCAAAACTTAAAGAAATTGGAATACCAGGAGACTGCTTGCCATTTGCAATGTTGGAATGTGTGATGTCGAAAGCCTCATGAATATAGTAACTTGACTTAATCTAATAAGAAAAAGAAAAGACATTGAGGAGAAAACTAGTCACCAGTCTTTCACCAAGAACATGAGATAACTTTCCAATATTTGAAATATCATAATATGTATAGAACTTGAATGAGCGACATAATATGTATTGATATTGAATGAGCGACCAGTTTTTCACCAGGAAAATAAGATCACTTATCTATTTTTGAAATATGTATGAACAGAACTCTATCAACTTCAAGGTGAGAGTTTATCATGAAGAACATGAGATAACTTATGTATGAACAGAACCACATTTGAATATAGAGGCGCCAGTTCATCACCAAGAAGATGAGCTAACTTATCAATGTTTGAAATCTGTTATACCCCCGCACAACAAAGTTGTAAGGGGGCTATACTGGAATCAGCTTGTCCGGCCGTCGGGCGTCCGTCGCTTTTTTCTTGTCCGTCCATAAAATTAAGATTCCTTTGACCCACAGTCTTCATATTTGGCATGGAGGTAAGTCATGATTAGTAGATGACCTCCATTAATTTTGAGAACACCAAGTCAAAGGTCAAGGTCACAGGGGTCTTGACTGAAGAAAGCTTTTCTGCCCAATAACTTAAGAATCCTTCGACCCACAGTCTTCATATTTGGCATGGAGGTTAGTCATGATTAGTAGATGACCCCTATTTATTTTCAGGTCTAAGGTCATGGTCACAGGGGCCTTGGCTAATTAAAGCTTGTCCGCCCAATTACCTAAGAATCCTTAGACCCATAGTCTTCATATTTGGCATGGAGGTTAGTCAAGATTAGTAGAATACCCCTATTGATTTTGAGGTTACTGGGGCAAAGGTCAAGGTCACAGGGGCTTTTATTACAATTAGCTTGTCTGCTCAAATGGTCTCATATATTCATCATAAAACACCTCCAGGCAAGGCTGCATGAAATGGGTGGGGGTGTTATTGAAGTCATTCAATGGCAGTTTTAGTTTTGAGGTCAGTACATGTAGGTTCAAGGTAAAGTTCACTTTGATCTTTTCTACTAAAACATGTAGAATATATAACTTAGCAATGCACTGGCTTACTTCCCTCAGATTTGGCTGAGCTGTAAATGACTACTGTTGATTCTGACAAATTGGTATGTGGGGGTATTCACGCCATGACAATGGCAGTTCTAGTTTGTACAGAAAATATCAAGATGCAAGTTTCTTTTATTAAGAATAGACTTATTGATTAGATAACTTACAATATTTACAAACATTTATAATTATACCACACCCATTTAAAGTATTTCAGCTGAGAGTGTATTATCCAAAATACATGTATTGTTATAATGTACTTTATAGTATATTTATTGATATATTTATTGTAAAGTTTTGATTCTACTAGATTTTAAAAACATTTAGATTTTACTAGATCTTGAAAATATTTTGTTCCATGCTCTTTCATTTAATTTTGAATAATGAATCCAATAAATACCTATAATAAGTATAGGATTAAAATTGATAATGTTTTCTATTTTTAACTTATATAAAAAAAGTAATGTTTAAACTGCTGGTTAGATTTCAAACAGGACTAAACAGGGGTGTACAGTGCAATCCTTAGTTGTGCACATTGTTGGCATGTTCTCATTGTCGGATACCCATGGCCGAACCATTAATATTCATCATTGATTGCATATTATGTGACATGTTTATCAATTGTGGGTATCCAACGATGGCAGCCATGTCCTGTTTCTCTGCACAAAATGGCCCAAGAGTTAAAAAAAGAAAAATCTATCACATGTACAACTGCCAAAATTCAAAAGAGTGATCAGAACCATACACAGTTTTGGGAGACATGTTTTTGTGACAAAAGCCCTTCAAGTTCATATATGACCTTGACCTTTATTTGATATAAAATATCTTTGGAGTTAGCTGGAATTGTCATTACTTTGTTATTTTTTACAGATTTGAATCATGCTTGAACAAACAAACACAGAACCAACATGTTGAACTTTTCTGATATATTTTGACCTTTAAATGACCATTACCTCCAAGGTTAAACAATTGAAATTCACTCGCATTGTCATAACTTTGTTTTTGTCTATGATTTGATTCATTCTTGGACAAAAGAACAATTATCATTCAACTATGACCTTTACTATTCAAATTTGAAATTTACTTTATACATTTATATTATGTTTTCTAGGAGTACTCTAATAGATAGATATTACAATATTCTCCTACTGATGTGTTTGACTTCCAATGTAAGAAAAAGCCGAGCATGGCCCAAGCTAGATAGTGGCTCTTGTTTTCAATGCCAACTTGATTATATGTATCCATTCCAATTTACATTCTCACATGTATTATCTATTGTGCTTGAAAGGTTTCTACAAAAAATAAGTTTGTTCTTACAGTCCTGGTTTTATTTTAGAAATATTTTATAGACAGTTAAATTTTCTGTTTATTTTCTATCTGCATAATCATTTCTTGGAATAAATATAGTAAGTACACTGATTTATGTGTTATACATTCACATAAGGAAGTACTTTACATGAAAATTGGTTAAACAACTATAGTTTCCCAACAAAATCCAATGTCATAATTTAAAATGTTTATTCATGATATATATGATATCAATTATGCATTTTGCCTGGGTTTGTTAGTATGTTCTTGGTACATGATTTTCAATTTTGACAAGAGTTTGGAAGCGATACTATTATATTGTGTACAAAATGGGCACTTATTCAACTTTGAAAGAAGAATGATATCAGATTAAAACACCTAAAGTAGATTGCTATACAAATCTCGAATTTAGCACATATTGCGCCCCCATCAGTGCTTTCAGCACTTTGATTGTATGTAGTCATCATATAGATAAACTTATAAAAAACTCTCTTTGCCTTAATACAAACTTTCAATACTTCATACGATTGTTTAATGGACAATTATAATGAACTGATACACATGTCTTTCTCGTTTACAAGTACAAATTTGCCATTGGCATTCAGACTTGTTTACTTGTCAGCTAGAACGTGTTTATATTGCTAAAAGACAAACAATAGATTACATATATTAAATGTGGTATTAGTTACAACATGGTTATACTTATGGTTTTATTACCACTGTCACCTCTGTCATAATCAGAACGTCAGTTACTTATTCATAGACCCTCAAGACAATTTGATAATTATGTTTACTTACCTTAAGTATAATATTGACACAATGTTTATGACACTTTGCACTTTGTTATATGGTTCGTGAAGAACGTTTCAATGATGAGCAAGACAGTGAACCCTGGTACATATTCCCTATTAATATGCAGACGTTTAACAACAGCAACTAATCCATTTTCGTAAAGAGCAGATATGGACTGATGCTTTCAAACTAACAAAACGCTTTTCGCATGATAAACAATTACTGACGATGGACACATTGATTCTTAATAGTAGATGCATGTGTTTAATACCCACCTTATTATAAAGGTATCGTTAAATGTCACATAAAAATCTCTTATACCCCTAATTTGGCACATATTGTGTTTATAAGGTACAGTTGTATGGATATTCTGAATAATGAGAGGAGTTTGGCATTATCTTTATTTATAATTGTTTTTATAAGCATTTAGTAACATTAAAAAAAACAAAACTTCTTTTTGTACAAATTCTATGCCCCAAGATCAAAACACAAAAAACCCATACATTTTTTGATAACCACTCGTCCATTGTCGCCCTACTACAATTTAAAGGTGCAATTAAGTTGCTTTGCTTCCTTAAAAATTTTCAAACTTCATGATAAATAATGTTTGTCCATTAGAAAAGATTAACACACAGACAACTTATCAATCTGTAAAAAAGGAAAGTTTTATTGTACGAACATTACAACATTATTTCTAATTGTTCGATACACACGGATAATCATTATCCTTTTTGCAAATGGTTAAGTTCAGGAGAAAATATTACCTTCACGGAAACGAATCACCTATTGCAAACATTTTACAAGGTAAGACTTTTATGAAAGGTTGTCAAATATTTAAGTTGTATTTAAATGAATCATTAAGTTGGTTGGTGCTTTTTTTCTTTACCTTTACTGCCAATATGAGGGATACATGTCTGCAGAAATATTGTTTTGATGGACAAATCTCTCTATTTAACATTATGGAAACATATTCAAGCTCATTTTACCGATCTTTCTATTGATTCAAGTTAAATAACATTTTCATACTGAATTTCAATACTTTCCGATGAATAAAGGTTTTTATGTATGTCTATTTAAAACTTTGTCCTTTAAAAACAATCAAGTAATACATTTAAATAATGTCTTGGAGTGTTTTTTGGAAAAAGAATTATGGCCATGTGGTTTTGTAGCATAGATCATCTGTCTTCTATATATAGTTTCTCTGTACTGAAAGGCACCTATCAATTGTGTTTCTTAATGGTATATCGTTATTCACATTGTTTAATGTCATTCATTTGTCTGTATTTACCACTTATAAGAGAAAAATACTTACTCTTATGGCTTCAACATCTAAGCACACATTACATTACGGGTCATCATAAAAGTACAAACTTTTTTTCTGCCAGACAAAAGGTACACAGAATTATACTATTCTGATTTACATGTCAAACAATGCAGAATTCAATACTTATATTTTTGTTCTAAATTCAATATTTTTAAAGTATGAAATATTTATTGCAAAAAAATATTCATTTTAAGAAATGTTCATAATATTTTTTTACTTTATATATTTTGTATAATTCCTTGTCTTCCTTGATGTAACCATTTTTTTTAGATATGAGTGGACCAATGAAATCCTGTGATACAATGAAATTATTGAATATAATTAGCTTTCTTTCCTAGTCCCTCGGGAAGTTTCTTTATCTCTAAGAACAATATATTTCTCTTTTTATCAAGACAAATGAATCAAATGTAATGTTGCGGCGGTGGAAATATGTCGATATATTTAATTTTCAACAAATAAATAAGGAAACCTTGAAAGATGAAACTCCGTAGAAATCTGTTCTAAACGAATGCCGTATTTAGATTACACTAAAAACTATAAGAACTTTGTTTCAAAGATTGATTTGTAAGGTTTCATTATTTTTAGTCTAGTGGTCATTTGGTCAAACGTTTGAAATACTGAAGCTGCTTCACGTAAAATAAAAAAGAAAAGTTCAACAATGGAGAGCAACATTCATGAAAAGCAGCCCACAAAAAATCAAACCTCATTGGGCCACCGGCACAGACTTAGAAAAAAGGAAATGATACAGGGAAAGATTACCGAAAACACATAAACAAATGCTTAACTACAATACTCTCTTTTCAACCAAAGTAAACTGTGTTAGCTTGCAAAAGTATGCCAAATAACATAATATCTTTTGACAAAACACTTTTTATAATTTCATTATAAGTATTATCTTGATGAACATTCCGCTGGTTATGAATTTCAAATTGAATTACTATCTTAGGGAACTTTGCACTGGTTTTGTAAATAGAATAATCTTAACATTTATTAATCATTTAGATTTAGCAATATCTTGGCTGACACAGCACAGATACACACAATTACGATGTATGGCAAATGTTAAGAGACTTATCAAATACCAATATTTTATTTTATCTTGTTTATGTTAATTCAAAATCAGAATATGATATCTTTATTGTTACTATAAAGAAGTACACTAAGACAATATGATACTAAAATATCATATGTAGTTATTGTCAAATGTCTAAAATGCGAGTCACATGGCCAATACTAAATTTACAAAATTCATTATTTATGACAAAATATCTTACGAACCGTAATAAGGTATTTTATCAAAGATTTTCAGATTTTCTTTAAAAAAAAATAAACGTCAATTTTTTCTAAAGAGGACTAAACGTCGAAAGCTTAAGAAAAGCATTTGCTTTTATTGAACTGATTACAGATTTTCGTTTGGCATTTGTATTATCTATTATACAAAAAATAAACAAGGGAACACAATAATTGAACAATATTCCTTCCTTTGAATACTGT